TGCTTGCAACTTGCTGAAGAATAGCCTTGCGTTGGAATTTCCTGCAATTTGCCCAAGCGCCGCGCTCCCCACACCCAGGCACCCAGGAGTCGCGCCCATTGTGGCCCCATGTGCATGCCCTTCGTGGCCCCGCTGTCGCAATTTGTGTCCCCCTCATTGTCCTACGTGGCCCAGTTGCTACCCTCAGTGGCCCCGTAGTTGCTTTTTGTGGCCCCGAATTATCTGCACTTCGTGGCCCCCGCTCGTTCGCACTCCTCGTGGCCCCATACGCATTCCCTTCGTGTCCGCGCTGTCGCCCTTCGTGGCCTACTTCGTGCCCTTCGTGGCCCTGCTGTCGTTCTCTCTCGCTCTCGCTTTCGCTCGTCGTCGCCGTCGTCGCCGTCGTCTTCGACGTCGTCGTCGTCGTCGTCGTCGTCGTCGTCGTCGTCGTCGTCGTCGTCGTGGTCGGTCCCCTGTCCGTCCCTCTTGGGGTCGGGTCGACGGTCTGCGGCCGCCCCGCCGATCAGCGTTGCCGCTGGCAAGGCCGACGGTCCGCGGCCGTCCCGCCGCTTGCCGGGGCCCGGCCTGCAGGGAAGCAAAATATACCCCCCAAACGGGGTTCGATCGAAGACGAAGAGGGCGGGTATCGAGAGTTTGGGAAATACGCGTTATTGGACACTCGAGCATATAAGAGCGAACAGTTTTAAAATGATTGTTGTTGTTGTTGTTGTTGTTGTTGTTGTTGTTGTTGTTGTTGTTGTTGTTGTTGTTGTTGTTGTTGAGAACGACGGGTTTTAGACGCCCCCCGAGGGGAGGAGGGGGGGGGCGGCGCATTGCATCGCATGGGGGGCGTGCGCTGTACCTGCAAGATTCGCATTGGATCCTTGTCATTCCTGGGAGTCCGCCTGGATTCCTGTAGAATCCGGGGCATCCCAAGGGATTCCTACGGATATGTGCAGAGTGTTATGAATTTCTGGGGTTCCTGAGGATTCCCCAGGGTTCCTTCTAGGAGTCCAAAAGATGCCTGGTTTTCTGAAGGATGCCTCGGTGAATCCGTGGACTCCTGTGGATTCCATCGGATTCGTGTGAATTCCCAGCGAATTCCGATTCCTATGAATCTCTTGGGATTCCAGAGGACTCTTCCGGATCCTTTTTGGTTCCAGAAGATCCCGATCGAACCCGATGGATTCCTCAGGATTCAGAGGGATTCCAACGGATCCGTGGGGACTCCCCAATCTTCTGATGAATCGTACTTTCGTTCGAACCGTCCTCGCGATTTGCCCTGGCATTGCGCTCTCGCTGTCAACTTTTATGCCAGTTACACGCTGTCGCCTAAGTTTGTCGCTCAAGCCTTCGCGCATTGTATTACTCAGGAGTCGAGCTCTCGCTCGACAGTTGCTCGCAGTGTACTCAAGAAATGAGCTGTCATTCGTTTTTTGTTTTTTCTTCTTCTTATTTTTTTCCTCTCTCTCTCTGTCTCTCCTTCTCCCAGAATGATTCCTCGCTTGGAGCGGTGGTGATGATGATGCCCTTGGTGATGTTGAATCGTGTTGTTGTTGATGGTGATTGGTGTGCAGATGGCGGTGGTTATGCTACACGATGGTGATTGTGATGTTACTGATGATGATGATCATTCTGCTGGTGATGGTGATGCTGTTGATGATGCTGTTGATGATGCAGATGTTGATGTTGATGCTGATGATGATGGTGTCGATAGTAGCGGTGGATATGTGATGATGTTGATGCCGATGATGATGACGGTGCACCTGTTGTTGATGTTGACGACGATATTGATTGTGATGGCGAAGGTGGTGATGATACCGTTGCTGATGCGGATGGCGAGTGGTATGGTGATAATTTGGCGATGATGCTGCTGGTGGTGATGATGGTGGCGATGAGGGTGTTGATTCCAGTGGCAGGGGTAGGTATGGTGACGATGATGACTACGACGATAGTGATGTTGATGCTGATGGCGATGGCGATGAGGACAACGATGTTGATGATGTTGCTGTTGATGATGATGCTGATGATGATGACGATGCGACGATGAAACGGCTGCTGCTGCTGATGATGTTGATTGTGATGAGAAGGGTGATGGTGGCGACGATGCTGAACACTGCGGTTGCTATGCTGATACTGATGGCGGTGATGATGGTGATCATTTTGACGATGCATGATATGATAATGGTGTTGATTGCGACGACGACGATGATGTTGACGATGATGATGGAGACGATGCTGATGACGACGACGATGATGTGGATGATGATGAAGATGTTGCTGGCGATGGTGATGGGGATGATGTTGTTGCTGAGGATGGTGATGCTGCTTATGATGTCGGTGATGATGATGGTATGATGATGACGATCTTGGTGGTGGTGATGATGCTGCTGCTGCTGTGGATGATGACCATGAAGATGATGCTGATGATGATGATGGCGATGATGATGAGGATGGCGACGATGGATGGATTGGGCGGGGAGGGCGGAGGGATGTAGGACGTACGCTCTGGGGGAGCGATGGGTGAGTGATAGCCAAGAGTAGAACGAGGATGGGCAGAGGTAGGTTTTTTTTCATTCTGTATTATGTATGGTTTTTTTTCTTACTCAGGGTTCCTCATTAAGGTTCTCTCAGGTAGGATTCTTCACTACAGTTCTCGTAGTACGGATTGTGTACGAAGTTTATCTTAGTGAGGACTCCTACGGAAGTTCTCTTACTGAGGACTCTTGAGTAATATTCCCGCAGTAAGGTTTCTTTATTAAGGTTTTCTCAGTGAGGACTCTTGGGTCATATTCGTAAAGTTTCTTTACTAAGGTCCTCTTAACGAGGACTCTTGAGTAAGAGTCCCGTAGGAAGGATTCTTCCTTGAGGCTCTCGTGGTAAGCATTCTGGAGTAATGGTCCCATCACGAGTATCATTTATGAAGGCCTCCTGTGTAAGGACTCTTGAGACATATTCCCGTATTGCGACTCCTGAGTAAGAGTCCTGGAGTCAGGATTCCTCATGAAGGATTACGGGTTATTCCTTAATGTTTTCGTAGTACGAACTCTTGAGCGAGACTCCCATCGTAAAGATTATGTATCAGTGGTTCCCGAAAAAGGACTCCGGAGTAACATTGTCGTAGTGAGGCTTCTTGACCAAACTTTTCTTGGTGAGGGTTCTTGAGTAAGAATCCCGTTATAAGGACCCTTCATTCAGGTTTTTTAGAATGGACTCTGGAGTAAGAGTCCCGTAGTAAGGATTCTTCACTAGTGTATTAGTAAGGACTCCCGAGTCAGACTCCAGTCGTCAGTATTCATTATTCGGGTTCTCTGCGTAAGGACTCTTGAGCAATATTCTCGCACTTTTGCTTCTGTACTGAGGTTCTCTTATTGAGGTTTTCTTAGTGAAGGCTTTTGAGTACGAGTCCCGTGGCATTTTTATAAATAAAGAAGAAGAGCAAGTCTCTTCGTAAGGAGTCTTGTGTAAGACTCTCCAGGTGAGGATTCTTCATTCAGTTTCTCTCAGTAAGAACTCTGGAGAAATATTTCCATCGTAAGGGTTCTTCATTGAGGTTCTTTTGGTAATAGCTCTTGATGAATATTCCTATTGTAAGGCTTCTGCATTAAGGGTCTCTTAGTAAGAACTCTTGAGTAATATGCCCATCGTAAGGATTCTTCATTCAGGTTCTCCAAGTAACCACTCTTAAGTGAGATTGTAGTGAGGCTTCTCTTCGGAGGTTCTCTTAGTAATGACTCTTGGGTAAGAGTCCCGTGGTCAAGTTTTTTTTTTGGTAAGGTGTTGCTAGTAAGGACTCTTGAGTAACAGTCCCGTAGTAAGGATTTTTCGCCAAGGTCCTTTCAGTAAGGACTCTTGAGTTCTATTCCCATGATTAGAATTCCTTAGTCAACTTCTGTTGGTGAGGACTCTTGATTTCTATTCCCGCAGTAAATATTCCTTTACTAAGGTGCTCTTAGTAAGGGCTCTTGAGTAAGGGCTCCGCAATACACATTCGTCGTTAATAGGTTTGTAGGAAGGACTCTTGAGTAAGACCCCCACCGTCAGGATTTATTATTCGGGTTCTCTGAGTAAGGACTCTTTGAACATATTCCCGCATTAAGGCTTTTTTAATTTCCGTTTGTCTTAGTACGCATGATTTGGTTTGGGTTTCTTTGTGAGGAATCTGGATTGAGGTTAGTAAAGATTGCGTAGTCCGGGTTTCTCATAAAAAGGAATTCCTGACCCAGATTCTCTTTGTCGGGGTTCTTGGAAAACAGTTTCTTCGTAGGGACTTCCCACTATCGGTCTAGTAGATGCCGAGCTTGCGTGGGGGCGACATGCCGTGGGAACCTTCGGCGCTTGTAGGCGCCTTAGCCTCGTCGATGGGATCTGGCAATCGAATCCATTCGCATCGGAGGCAGTCCCAGAAGCTGGTGCGATGCAATGCGGTGCTCTCCCCCCCCCCTTCCCCAGAGGGAGCGTCAGAAACCCAGCGTACCTCCCGTGGGGAGCGACGGGGAAGCTCGCCCCATTGGAAGGGGCCCAGAAAGCCGGCGTTCCCTTGTTGTTGTTGTTGTTGTTGTTGTTGTTGTTGTTGGCGTTGTTGTTGTTGCTGCTGTTGTTGCTGTTGCTGCTGTTCTTGTTGTTGTTCATGCTGATGATGCTGCTGCTGATGATGGTGTTGGTGATTCTGATGATGACGGTGCTGATGTTGACGATGATGATGATGATGATGATGATGACGATGATGATGGTGATGATGATGATGATGATGATGATGATGATGATGATGATGATGATGATGACGATGATGATGATGATGATGATGATGCTGATGATGATGATGATGCTGATGATGATGATGATGATGATGATGATGATGATGATGATGATGATGATGATGATCTGAGGATTCTTATGCGGACGATGGGGCGGACGACGACGAGCAGCAAGATCACTGGGCATGGCATAATGGACGGAGTGAGGAGGGAAGGGCAGGGAGCGGGGGAGGAGCCGTGGCCTTGGTGCTCCCCTCGAGAGAGGTCCACGTCGACCCGGGGCTGCTGGCGGCGGGATGCCCTACCAGCAGGCCTGCAGTGGGAGAGGGACCCTCACCTTTTCTGCCCCGCCTGCCCTGCCCCCCGCCGCCCTTCCCTGCCACTCTGTGCCCCTATCTGCACCCCCCCCTCCTTGCCCGTTCGTCTCTTCGCCCCAGCCTCCGGCTCCTCCTCCTGATCTTCCTCCTCCTCCTCCTCCGCCTCCTCGTCGTCCTCCTGCGCCTCCTCCTGATCCCTCTCTTTCTTCTTCCTCCAACGTGCACGGCTCCCCCTTCTGATGGCGCGTAGCACGATAAGGGGGTCGTTTCCAGGATCCAGGTCCGCCAGGACACGCCTCGGCGGATAGAGTATCCTCCGCGCCACAGGGAGGGTCTGGTGGCAGGGGACAGGGTGTTAGATCCGTGGTGCGAGCGCGTCGGGCTTGGCGCTCCCGCCCCCTGCCCTGCCCTGTCCCTGTCCCTCCTCCCCTGCCCTGTCCCTGCCCCCCTCCCCCCTCCCTTCCCCCCTCCCTGCCCTGCCCTGCCCTGTCCCTGTCCCTGTTCTTCCTCCCATCCCCCCCCCTTGCTCTGGCCTGTCCCTGTCTCTGCCCTTGGCCCTTCCCCTTCCGCCCTTGCCCCGCCCTGTCCCCCCCCCTGCCCTGCACCGATCCTGGCAGGGGCCAGCTAGTCGACGCCCGCCGACGTGACCGTCGCCGTCGCCGTCGCCGTCGCCGTCGTCATCGTCTCCTCCGCGGCCGGCAGAACCCCTACCAGCAGATGCAGCAGAGCCCGTACGGAGGCGGCCGGGGGCGGGTTTCCAGGGAGCGTGGCGCTGGCCGGGCCGTGCTCTTGCTGCTGCTTCGTCTCCTCACGCTCCTGCCATTTCTCCCTTCTATTTCTCTCTCTTGCTGCCTCCCTCCCTCCCTCCTCCTCTCCTCCTCCACCTCCTCCCCTTTCTTCTTCTCCGCGAGGTGAAGATGGATAAAGAACTGAGCATCATCAAGAAGAAGAGGAGGGGAAGGAAGAGGAAGAGGAAGAGGAGGAGGAGGAGGAGGTGGAGGATGAGGAGGTGGAGTAGGATAATGGGGAGGTGGAGGAGGATGTGGATGCGGCTGATGATGATGCTGCTGCTGCTGCTGATGATGCCGATGCTGATACTGATGATGCTGATGATGCTGATTATGATGATGATGATGATGATGATGATGATGATGATGATGATGATGATGATGCTGCTGCTCTTGACGATTATGATGATGGTGATGATGATGGTGATGATGATGGTGATGGTGATGATGAGCGCGATGATGATGACGGTGATGATGCTGATGCTGATGCTGGTGATGATGATGCTGATTGTGGCGATGCTGCAGATACTGATGATGATGATGCTGCTGATGATGATGATGCTGATTGATGATGAAGATGACGATGATGATGATGGTGATGATGATGATGCTGATGGTGCTGACCATGATGATGCTGATGGTGATGATTATGGTGATGATGATGCTGATGATGCTGAGGATGATAACGATGACGATGATGCTGATGCTGATGATGATGACGATGATGACGATGACGATGACGATGCTGCTGATGCTGATGCTGCTGCTGATGATGATACTGACAATGATGATGATGCTGCTGATGATGATGCTGCTGGTGATGCTGATGGTGCTGATGATAATACTGCTGCTGCTGATGATGCCGATGACGCTGATGATGATACTAATGGTGATGCTGCTGATGCTGATGCTGCTGATGATGATGAGGATGCTGCTGCTGATGATGATGACGATGCTGAGGATGCTGATACTGATGCTGCTAATAATGATGTTGATGCTGCTGATGCTGCTGATGATGATGATGCTGACGATGATCATGATGATGATTATGATGATGACGATGCTGCTGCTGATGATGATGATGACGATGATGATGATAACGAGGATGCTGCTGCTGATGATGACGATACTGATGATGATGCTGATCATGATGCTGCTGCCGATGATGATGATGATGAAGATTATGATGATGATGATGATGCTGATGATGATGATGATGCTGATGCTGATGCTGATGCTGATGATGCTGTTGATGATGATGATGGTGATGGTGATGACGATGATGATGTTGCTGATGATGATGATGATGATGATGTTGAAGCTGATGATGCATTTGATGCTGCTGATGATGCTGATGCTGATGATGCTGATGAGGATGCTGATGATGATGATGATGATGATGCTGATGATGATGATGATGATGATGATGCTGATGATGATGCTGATGATGATGATGGTGATGATGATGATGCTGATGACGA